GATCAATGACTTCGAATAGCTTCTGCGTAAAATTTTTAAATTTAAAGTCTTTAAAATTTGATTGAAAATTCTACGTTTTATTTCGTTCATTGAACTTTATATCAATTCCTATATTATTCGATCAATCAGTTTTTCAATTTCTTTTTGTCCCTTTGCTTCTATTTCCACTAACAATGGTCTATTGTCTAACTTATGTACATTTATCTTCTAACCAGTTTTTTAACTGGTCATAGTAGGAATAGGTAAATATAAAGTGCCGGTATGTTTAGAGTTAATTATTCTTCAATCCCTTGTCGGATCACTTTCTTTCGCTACTAAGTCCCTGTAACTATATAATATTAATAATTCGCAAGAAAAACTAAGAAACTTTCTACTTTAATTTAAGTGCAAAAATTTGAAAATAATAACTTGATAATAGAAAAATAATTTTTTGTTTTTATCCATACGCAATGAACAACCTTGATTTTTATTAAATTAATCTAGAAATGTTTATTAAGAATTTCACTCGTCATTATACGGTAAGGAGTTAGTGCTATTCGTTCAGATTTGCAATTATTGCCATGATATAAATAGCAAGGTCGTAAATTAAACTTTTAACGCTAAACGTGAAGTCGATACATATCAAATTGTTCTATGAATGCTTACGCACGTACGATACATGCAAATATGTAGAATATATACTAGACACGTGTATTTATATGCAAAATGTAATTGGGTTTCCAGATATATTCATACAACTTCCGCCTGTTGTTACTAGCTTGTAATAGTAAGGATGGAAATTGTATGAACATGTTTCGACACGCGGTGTAACAACTGATTAGTAGACTGCGGGTGTTTACGTAAATTTACAATATAGATACATTTTTAACAAAGAGAGTTATACTAAATGTTACTTCTGCTAAGAATATTTTTTCATTGTTTTTAAAAATTACAAGACGCTATAAATCTTTGAAATATATTTCTGTAACAATAACTGCTATAAATCAAAGTGAAAAATATATTTTACAACACGAGCAAAATAATTAAGAATTACATAAGAAAGTAAAAATGAAAGGTATGGTTAAGTTGAATATAATATAAACAGCTATATTACATAAAATGATATGTACAGTCTTCATAATTTATTGTATATAGTTAACACAAAATTTATTGAAATATCTTAAATATGCAGAATAAATTCAAGTAAACAAAATGCACGAGAATTCTACATTTTGGATCTTTTTTTGCTTTGTGCATATTCTTAAGAATACACTCCACGTTTTCCAAACAAAATCAAAACTTTAGATGTACAAATTCATTAAAAATGCAATGAATGCAATCAAAAACACAATGTTTCATAACAGTACTAAAAGTGAATTGTATTTTACAAAAATACAGTTGTAAAGCACTAGTGATCGTTAATCCAGCTTTTTGTCGAAGGACCACCCAATCTTGGGACTAAATGACTGATTGACTGAATGATGTACCTCCCTGAATGGATATTTTCTGAAGTGTTCCTAACTGTACTGATACTGGTCTGTTTCTGACCTGACTGATGCTGTTTCTGTTCTGATTCTGAACTTTGACTGTCTGAAGGGTTTTTATAATTCTTCTGGGTCCACTCCCTCCCTCTCGACGTACGAAGGCGGGCCTCAGGGCCGGTTTTTCTATCCCTTCCTAAGTATGGTACCCACTCCTGTATCATCCCCTTCCAGTACGCCCGTAGCGCGGTATTTCCCTGGAGCAGGGGTGACGGAGTTGGTCGTTATGCTGAACGAATTTTTGGTAATGTTGGGGAAATTCCATTAGGTCAAGATCCTTGAGGACACGTTTTCTGAAATTCTAACGGACCCTCTGGAACACGACTTTACGATACCTAGGCTAAAGTATAAAAAATAGACAATGGTTGATCTCTAAGTTGAACCCTTATGTGCCGCATATTGGCTGCCTGCTAAAGTATCGGACGGAAAGCTAACGGTTACGAACCTCTCTATGAATATTTTTCCATATCGTAAAATTGTCCCCTTGTTGTCCTAACAACGGTACACTGAAAAAATACATTCCTTTATCTATTACTGTATTTTTTATCACACACCTGAATCCCAATATTACATCTCCGCATATCGCATGTCCATTGATATAACAATTCCACTTCGAAACGAGCACAGATAAATAAGACGCTTAACCAAAGCGTGACAGAATTCCGGCCGGCATCAAAAGCGAATTGGTATTCGTTGTTAATCCCGCGGCGGACCTTCGGTTAACCCAATAGGAGTTCTCCCGCTCGTAGTTGCGCGGCACGATAATGCGATTAAGGTAACGAAACACGCGTCGCGGTTGGAATTTCATTCGCCCGGCGGCCGTCGAGTTCTTCCGCGGCGCCCGTTTCTTTATCAACGGCATCCCCGTTCTCGTTGCTTTATTGCTTCGCGCGCGCCGACGCACGGCACAATAAAGCGACGAGCTTCGAGCACGAGAGACAGCAATAATAGCGGGCGAAGTAATATTAAGACCTCGAAACATACTTGCGGAAAACGAAGTGGCGGGCAACAACGCTCGCGTTCCTTCAACCCCCGCGATCCTGAACCGCGCGGGATTGAAACTTTCATCTTCTTCCGGCTTTATTCGACCTTTCTCACCGCCCATCCCCCTCGGCGTTCCTTAATTCGCACCACTTCCGGCCGATGCGAGGGAGAAATGAGAGTTCACGAAGTCGCCATTAATAACTTCCAGCATCGTCGCTAGACCAGAAAAGTGATTTTTGTTTATTCGCGACCTTGGGGAACGATGCAAGATCAAGTGAGTATGCAACTTTGGAAGCAGGTTGTTATTTGACCCTTTCAAGGTAGAATTTTCAATTTTTATTATTGTGATTTTTTTTTTAGATTATAAACATATTCAGTGATATAGCAAGTATCAACATTTTATAAGAAGCTAATATTTTTTATACTGTAGAAAATATTAGGTAGAACAGTATTTTTCCCACTAAGCAATAACGATCTTTCGTCACTGAGGCAGAGATTGATTTATCCATGAAAAAGGGCGATGATAATAATATAAAACTAATGAACCGCTGCGTATTAGAATTTTAAAAGGTGGTATTGCCGCGACACCGCTAAGTTCGAAAGGGTGAAAGTTATAAGATATAACATTATGTTTAGAAACACAATAATCCTTTTTGGTATCATTTTTTAAATATTTTACATAATATATATAAAATAAAACAAACAATAACAACAAAATAAAGTAAATAAAGAACTTCAACTCCTTCGTGATGAAAATTTCGAACAGAGTTTAGTATATATAAGTGTCATATTCGTTTGAGTAGTAATTAAATGCTATTTTTCTGTTATCAATCGTTAAACATCGAAATAAATGTAGACATAGGACAAACATAGAATTCTTTCTTTTTCTCTAATAAACTATTAACGGTAAGATAATTCCAGTAAGCAGAGTTATGAAAGAAATAATAGGACAAAGAGATAAAGTGGCAGCAAAACTGTTAAACGCGACCTTTGTTTCGTTCTTTCATCAACTTCGTTTCCTAGAGATCTTATTTCTCGCTGTTTGGTTTCTTTTAACGACGCATTCGTCTTAACGCGATCTGGGAATTACGGCCATAACGAGGTATCAGAGCGAGAACAAATTGCCGGTTACTCGCGTCGAATATATCGGAGTCGATTCTTTTGCGAGCCACTGGGCTTTCTTTTATTGTTTCGTTGAAACTTTTACGGAGAGTTGTGCCGGAGTGATGATAAACCGGTTTCAGTTCTGCGAGAATGCGCCGCAATGTGGCGCCAGTTCCTTGGATTTTAATTTTTTCCAGTTTCCAACGAGCGCGGAATGTGATTTCCCGAGCGACCCATTTGTTGCGCTCTCCTCGGACAGTCGAATTTTACCTCGTTCAAAACTACGTCGAATTTTCGACGTGCTGATTAATTTGCTGGAAAATATGATCCCATTATTTGGAAAAGGATAACCAACTGCCAACTGGAATCATCTATAAAAATTTACAGGTTTTAAAGCTTTTTTTGTATAATAAGTTGTAGGTGAGTAATGTTATAATTACTTGTATACATTCTTCAAAAATAGTTACAATGTGTTATGGAATCAATAGTGTAAATAGTTAGTTATTGTATAAGCTGATAAAGTTAAAAAGAGAACGAAATAATCAAGTCCTATTATATAAAATTGTCACTGAAGATTTATAGTTTCTCTACTTTCCACTTTGATATGTGTATACATATCATTATGTAATATAATACAAGTATTTTCACATTGGGATTACAATATTTCATAGGATTAGTTTCTTAAATGATTAAAAGCTTTATACATTTAGAAAATTAACCAATTCACATAATTTATAATTTAAATAGGTATAAAAATATTGAAGATACTCGAGTGTGATAGAATACCGCTATTATAATTCCCAAGAAGCTTGTATCTTAGTGAAGTGTGAAAAATCGTGAATACTTTAATGAATGGGGGTTTTAATACTAAAATACATCTACGTCTTTCTAAAAAAATTATAATTATAATTAAATTATAAAAAATTAAGTATATTAAATTATTATCTATATTATATAACGTTTTACATAGTATATATTTAAAACATAGTAAAACATACTTATACCTATTTGCAAAATGTTTTAATATTCTTGCATTCGAATTATAAAAAAGGAAGCTGATACATCGTAACAGCATTTACAATTAATTATCAATAATCTGGAGACTTATATAGTAAAGTTTTTTTATCAAAATTTCTATTAATGTGTTACAACAATAGGTACATGTAATAAAAATTAACTTTATTCAGGAAATTAACGCAGTTTCTATTTTTATTTTAACGATCAACTTTCAAATCAAGATGTTGAATTGTTTCATTTAATCTGGTAGCTTATCTATATGAATAGCACTATAATTTTTGTATATCCATGAGATATCTTGTTGGCCAAGTTTCTCATAAATCAACAGCTTTAAACTGATTAGCGCCATAACTGGTTCTTGTTCCAATAAAATGTGAACAAATATTTTAGTCTTTATTTACTTTACAATAATTAAAGGTTAGAGGCGTTTCTACAGACCATCAGTGATAAGGTATTAAAAACGTATTATTTCTATTTAGTAGAATATTTAAAAAATGATTTATTACTATTTGTACTTTCAATTTCAGTGTCCTCTTTCAATTTAGTAAAACTATTACTTTCGAATTTAGTTGCTTAATATGCGTACTAATTTCTTCTTTAGTTGCTTAATATGTGTACTAATTTCTTCTTTAGTAATCCAGTGAATATATTATTTCCTACTTTAGTAATTTAATAAACCTATTATCTTCCAATTAAATAATTTAATAGTCGTAATCATTTCTAACTTAAAAATTAATCAAATACTTTATTCTTCAGTTTAATAATTTACTAAATATATTATTTTTTATTTTAGTAATTTAACAGATGCGTTCACATCTAATTTGTCAATAATTATTACTTTCCATTCACTAATTCAATAATCGTGTTATGTTTTACGAAAAAGTTTTCAGAAGATAATTACATATACATGCATTTTTGTTTAGTTTTGACAATTTGGAAATATGTTAACAAGACTGCCAAAATCAAATACGCAAACATGTCCCCATAACGAGTTTACAATTAATCATTCGAAGCATTCGTCACCGTTCTACCGCGACACCTCGTACGGTTACCGACAAACAGCATCGATTACTTTACATAAATATCATTAGCGTAGTTTGCGAAGTTTGGTCATCCCCGATTTTCGACTGAAGTGAATTTCTGGTCGGTGAATAGAGCCACTGGTTTAATCTCTGGAGGAACTACTTAGCGAGGAAGTTTGTTCGATCAGCGGGCTTTCTTGTGGAAACCTTGCCCTGCCTTTCCTTTCCTAACCCGTCCCGTGACGAACAGCCCTAATTATCACTCGGTCGGATGTGGCCGGAACGCTGCCGGAAATTCCCTCGCAAATCCCGCCATCTTCCGCCGCAACCATCCTCTCTATTTTTCCTTTTCGTTTAACGCTGCTGCGTGTATTCATACTGAATGGGGCTGCTCCCAATTTCTTTTTTCTTTCGTCTCTGCTCTCGGCCAGCATCTTTAGTTCCGTTCTTTTTAAGAAAATATGAAAAATCGTAATAATAATCAGAATATTAACACTAGGTTTACGGACGTTTATTGTTTTATTTATTCTACTGTTCCTAGCAAAGTTAATGCTCGTTCATTTGAATCGTGGAAATTAGGAATTTAAAAACAACCAGTTAAGGTACATATGTATGCAACTGCATCGACCAGAATTAATATGTACATGTAGCAAATAATATTTAGAAAATTCAATATGCGTCAAATTGGCGCATTACGTAAACCTAGCGTTACTGGGGAATTTAACCCATTTTATTTAATGATAAGTAAGTGAAGTACTTACATGATTCTTATTGTTTTAATATTTAACCTTTTGTGCCTAACATAGAATTGAAAATAGAATTTAATTTTTTTATATTTCTTAATATATAAAGAACAAATTTTTTTACTATTTAAATAAATTTAAATAGAATTTAACAGATATAACCATTACTTAGTTCTTGTAAATACCAAATTGAATATTATTCTTCTGTTATCAATGGTTATACTTTAGAGTAAAGTGGACATAGGGCATGCTTGAAATTTTTCTCCTTTTTTCAATAAATTGTTAATGATAAAGAAGTTGTATCTATCACAGTTGAGAAATAAATCGTATGGACGGGGTTAAACCAGAAAGATGGGACGTTTAAACTTCAATTTTACACGATTTAAAATTCAAAATTAAAGAGAATTGTGGAGAATAAAGTATGACTTCAGAGAGAAAGAAAGTGAGCAAAAGAGAAGAAATAAACAAATAGAGAGGAAAGTAATTGTTGAATATGAATACTTGTAAAACACGTTTAATTGTTCTTCTACTTAAAGTTTACATTATGTTAAAGTATAAAAATATAAATGAACTGATAAATATTTAGTCAGATTAAGTGAAGGCAATCCATATTCGAAATCTCTATCTCTTTCAACTGTGTTTGGTCTGTATTAAATCTAGGTTAGATGGTTATGTGTTGGGCGTGCACATTTGTCAACGAAAGTGTTCATTTAAGTTGATGCATATCCGTCTGTGGTTTCAATGCATCAAGTATGAAAATGAATGTTTGTGAGCGTTGATATTTCATTGCTCGTAAAAACATTTATTTATGGAATTAGTACATGCATGCATTAACTGATAAACATGTATTTATTGAATTAACACATTATATCCATACTAGTCGTTCGCTAAAAATCAATTAAATAATAATACATTTTGCTCAATATATAACATTGACTACTTTACTATAAAGATATATTATTACACTAATCAACTAATTAGATCATAGTCCGAATGTTTTCTTTTTTTAACAATACAATTCAGTATCACATAATTAAAAATTATTATAATAACGTTCCTCTGCTAGAGCGTCATGAGAATAACGCGGCGCACAATGCCGATGATTTTTATTTAGAGCGCGTCACAGTCAAAGGGTTAAGAGCATTGAAGGATGACAAAGAACCCACCTCAGAAAAAGTGGAATTAAAATAATGGGAGGATGAAATTGAAAAGGATGCTGTGTATAATATGACACGACAGTAAGGCTTAGTTAAATTATGACAATGGCGAATATATGAAACTCTAAAATATTTTTATAAAATTCATTGGAAGCTTGTTAAAGTACGTTAAAAAATGATAAATTTATAAAACTATATATATAAAAATTAATGAATTATTGGAAAAAGAATATGTGGCACAATATTGTATAAAGAGTTCATAAAGAGTGTAAGAAGATAAATCTTATTTAAGTAAATGAAAAATGATAAAACACACAATAGGATTCTCTTTAATGACCAAACCTAATTAGACAATACATAAATGTAAGTACTCAGCACCTTGTACAGTTATATAAAAAGTTTTCTTTTGATTCAATACTTGCGAGATTTCCAGTATAGCAAAGATTTATTCTAAAAGCTTTTGTTCCGTCATGATGAAACATGTTCAGACGTAAAATGAAAACGAGTCCTGACAATCAAATTCATTGATTTTGAAATCTTGCCTACTGGATTTTGATGCAGATAAGAAGCTGTCTTTTCTTGACAATTAGACTTTTCTAGTTGTTAAAAGTTGAAATAAAGTCTGGTGAAAAATAAAGTTCAGTGGTATGGTTGTAGCATATCAGAAAGAAAATATGTTGGTAGCAAATGTCTATTAATCCAGCATTTAATAAGTACAGAGAATTTGTTTTATTTTGAGAAACTGCTTTTTCGTGTGCTATTGGAGAGTAATTACCCAATACATGTTTTTGTACATATACAGATGTAATAATCAATTTCAAAAAATGAACGTCAGACATTAGGTTAGTCTGTGCATAAACAAAAGCTTATTCGATAAAAATTTAATTTTAAATATTATGAAATTATATCAGAATGTTGATTCTATTATGTGAACATTAAACGAGGATATAAATGCATAAGTATCTCTCTATAATAATTACCTGTATGTTACATTTTATTACTTACTACTTTTACTTCCAATACATAAAATTGAAAATTTGATTACAGACTTGACAGCACAGTACTGATATATTCGTTTTAAAATAAATTCAGGAATGTCACACTCTTAAGAATTCTATGGATATGAATATATGTATACTGAAACGTGTTTCTGTGCTACATGTATTTCGCAGATCTCGTACTCTTGCAGTCGTATATGGTGGTAAATGTAAATCTCGACTGGTATATTTGGCAATTTAGATTTGGTTCCTTCTATGGGCAGTAAAATATAAAATCATTTATTAAACAAATTATTACTAATTGATGATTGAAATTAAAATATTCATTGAACGTTTCAGGAAAAATAATTTTCTATTTGACAGTCATTAAAATAAATTTTATTTTGCTATTACGTAAATATGTGTATATAGATATAGTATGTTAAATGTAGTTTATTATCATCACGAATTAAAAAGTACTATACGTACATTTTTATTACATTTAAATAGAAACTCTTTCATTTCATTTTAAACCTATGTTATTTCTCAATGGAAAAGTTATTGTTAACAACTAATTTTTACATAGTACTGAACATTAATTAGTAAAGATTCAAATACGTTTATGCAAAGTTTAAATAAAGGAATTTTATTAAACATTGTTTTTCATACATTTCATTATAATTAAACATTTTCTACGTTTAGTAAAGACATTCAGTTACCGGTAATTTGATTGCAGATTTGCATGCATTCACAGAATAAATGGACGCGTAATAATGAAATAAAGTACAGGCTTTTATAAAATATGAATGTTTCTGCTGACTTTAATTAAATTGTAGCTTTAAAACGTAAAAGAAGTTCTTTTCTTCTAATTTCAATTGAATTTATATTAGTTCGTTCAAATGTGAACCTGAATAAACAGTCTCGAACCAATAGATGCAATCCACAATTCAAACATTGAATTGTACTGAATCGATTGAGAAAAATTAAAATGAAGAACATTAATAGTCTTCAAGGACAATAATATTTTTTATATTTTAATGTAATTATAGGAAAGTTATTAAGAATATTTTTCTTCAAACACCATAAGGTACGAACAATTTCTTAAATTTTACAGATTTTAGAAACTAAAATGAAGATAATTAATAATAGGATTTTTAAGTTTTCGTAGTTTTAAGTCAGTCCAATATTCAATAAAATTATTTCGTCAGATGTGATTCAGTATTCGTTGAAAATGCTATGTATAATTACCTCGAAATTTTGTTCCTCATGTATACAAATAATTTAAATAGTACGTAACTAAACGTATAAATAGGGCAATAATACTGAATTCTACCATATTTTACTTTCGATGCGAAAGTTATAAGGAATACGAATTGCACTTCGAAGGTTCAGCATAGCTAACTTATATACATTCTTCTTTCATGCAGAAATATCGATTATCCTGCCAATTACCCAAACGTTTTCTCAAAGGTTAAGAAAATATTAGTCCTTTTTTATTCAGACTTTACATTTACTAGCCATTTTTTTCATTTGAAAAAGACTTTTTAACGTA